TTGGATAATGTTTATGATTTTGTCAAGTTGGATTTTAACGTGACATACTTCTTGACAAAGAATGTTTATTAGTTGCTTATTTTCCGCGAGAAACTCTATATATATTTTATATAAATAGTTTAATGAAGTTAGTTTGAATTGTCAATAATATTTACGTAAAAATCAATACCTTTCTCAAAATATTATCATTGTGAACCTCACTCTTCCATTAATTCAACAGAATTGTTTTAATACCTCTTGATTGTGTGACCTTTTCTACAAATATTTTGATATTTTTCAGTAAGTTTGAAATTTACTACACAATTCTTGATAACGCGGATATAATTGATCGATTATAGTCTTTGAAATTTTCTTATTGAATTGAACTTCCCATTAATTGTAAATACATTGTTTATAAAACTAGTGACAGGAAAAGATGGGTGATGACGTGTTGTTGTGACGTTGTTGACTGCTTCTTCGATAACCTTTCCCAATCCGGGTTTAATGCTCAATACGGCTTCAAAGGCGTCTTCTGTTTTTTTTTTGTAAATACAATTTATTTATTTGAATATCTATATATTTATCTATTATATTTATTTATTTTATTTATTATTGACTACCTTATGATTATTTTTGTTTCGGATGGCGTGATTCCAGTGTTTGCATTTGGACTAATTAAAATAATATGGACAAAATATGGACATAGTCATTTTTCAATTGCATATACATTTGGACTATGTCCAAATTTTCTCAAAAATATGGACATAGTCCAAATGCAAACACTGCCGTGATTCATTAAGTAGTTCAATATTATCTTAGCATACAATAATTTAAGACCGAAATCGATAAAACTTTTCTGTCTTTATAATATTGGCATAGATTTAGTTAATTCAGATCAGATATCTTAATTCTGGTTTTCTACCTGCATTTAGGGCGTAAAAATAACAATATTAATAACGATAATTAATTCTCATTTATTAATACGTAATGATACAGTAGCTACGAACTATATAATCAATCTTATCGATTCGTTCAAACTTTTAATATGTAAAATAAGTATTTGATCTTTATTTTGCAACTACTTTTAAGACCAAAATCAACTTAAGTAGATTTCGGATTCAAAATCCACTTAGATGAATTCCGAATACACAGAATTTAGATTCTTTTAATATCAAACATAAGTCTTAGAGAAAAATCTAATTTATCTAATACTATAAAAGATTAGTAACAACGTAATAATAAATTTTATAGCCTCGATTTTTAAGTTATACATGGAGGCCAGGTAGTTTTTAAATCAAATCACGTGATGCATATAAATTACTACCTGGTCCCATTAGAGTGTCCAGAATTATAATCCGGTAAATGCAAAATTATGCGGGCCCCAGAATTAGGGCTGAAATTATAAACTGCACTAGCGTTGCACTCTAAAAAAATTTTGCTGGCCAATCGGATTTTAACGCGACAATTTATTAAACTGCCTTCTGCGCGCTAACAGAAGGTTTTTGGTTTTATTAAAGTCTTTCTAATAGCAAAATATAACGCTAATCTTATTATAGTGAAATTTTTAGATAATTCTAGGAGAGTTAAAATAATTACTTTACATACAAATCAATCGCAACTATTACAACATTTGGAGCTATAATTTAATTTTTTAAAAGTATACCAAGTACTGTTAGTTTGGCCAGCGCTATTCATGCATAAAATTTCGAAAAGTTACTGATAATGCAGGCGATAACATTATTTCGTGTAACTGAATTTGTCAACATAAATGTGCCCTTTCTTGGGAAAAGCTAGATTATGCGCAGATTATACGTATTTCTTTATTAAATTATGCAAATCGAATATTTAAGCGCTATAAGGCAAATTATGCGATGCCGGATCATAATCTTCTAGTCACGTCAAAATTAAGGATGATTTATGGCAGATGGTATGTCGAAATGTTTTTTTAACATTTCGACATTGCACTACAAAATGCCGTATGATAAAAATCTTTTTGTCCGTTTAAATATTATATACTGTCAAAGATATTATGGCTGTCGGAAAAATTCTATCATAGAGGACATTCGTCTGATTGGCTGATTCGAATTTATACAGTTTAAAGTACGTACGCTCCTAATTTTTAATATAGTTTTTTAAGAAATAATATATAATATATATAATATATATCAAATATATAATAATTTATATTATACGTATACAGTAGTCGGAAATTTCACTTAGTATTTACAATGCAGGAGGATGCTAAATCCGGGTTACACTTGACGTACCCGACGCACTAATCAATGTTAAAATCGAAAAATTTTAAATATCTTGAAATTTCGTTATGCAAACTAGTCTTGGGCTTCTAATTAAAAGTTTTTATATATGCCCTCTTAATACAAATTTATCAAATGTCAAATGTCACTAAATTACTATATTTAATTAATAATGCTATTATTACTAGTTAATAATATCATTGAATTATATAGCAATATAAGAAAAAATATTGACGTCAACTTTATTTGTTTTTTATGCATTTTGTATTAATCACTATAATTATACGCAATTTACATTACAAAAATAACATTGATTTTGATATTCATTTTATTTATAATGATAACTACATAAACTTTCGAACTTGTGACTCTGCGATCTTACATTTTTTTTTTGCGGTTCGAGATGTAAAGTTGTGACTTTGCAGTAATTTCTATTATTTCTTTAATTAAAGTATGAAATAATTAATAATAATGCTTATTAAATAGTATACATTTGCAGATAATTACAATAAATTGTCTTTGCGGACATAGAAAAACCATCTTAACCAAATAATGGGCAATTATTCCTGTGAAAGTCATCTTTGCATCATGGCTTAGACGATCTCACAAAAACAACATAAAGTTGCTTTTGTGGACATAAAATAACAACCTCCATTAAATAACTTGGCAATTATTCCTGTGAAAATTATCTTTGCAAATTGCTTAGATGATCTCACAAAAGTACCCCAACAAGGCAGCTTTTGTGGACATAAAACAACCATCTCTGTTAAATAACTTAAGTTGTTACTTCTGTGAAAATCATCCTTACAATATGTAATAGCTTAGATGACCTCACAAAGCAACCAAAAAGATTGCTTTGTGGACATAAAACAACCACCTAAGTTAAATAGCTAAAATCGTTAATCCTGTGAAAATCACCCTTACAACATATGTACGCACATAGCTTAGACGATCTCACAAAGACAATTCAAAGAACAACCACCTTGACAAATAGCTTAAGTAGACTAGTTTATAAGACCCGGTCGGTGACCGGGTTCGAGTTTCTAATTTTTTGCTAATTCTTAGGCCTCAACGTTATTAGTTTATAAGACCCAGTCGGTAACCGGGTTTGAGTTCCTAATTTTTTGCTAATTCTTAGGCCTTAACATTATTAGTTTATAAGACCTGGTCGGTGACTGGGTTCGAGGTTCTAATTTTTTGCTAATTCTTAGATCTCAACGTTATTAACTCTTAGGCCACAATGTTATTAGTTTATAAGACCCAGTTGGTGACCGGGTTCAAGTTTCTAATTTTTTGCTAATTCTTAGACCTCAATGTTATTAGTTTATAAGACCCGGTTGGTGACCGGGTTTGAGTTTCTAATTTTTTGCTAATTCTTAGGCCTCAACATTATTAACTCTTAGGCCTAAATGTTATTAACTTTTAGGCCTCA